TCATCTTGAAAAAAAAACAGAAAGAAAGGCCACCTGTGGCTTTTAAAGATTGTTAGTTCCTGAAAATGATTTATATTTCTCAGGGATGCTTTCCATGTAGCCTTGGAAGCAGGGTTCAAGTCCTAGACTGTTCTTGCAAGTTGGATGCCCTAGGGAATGACACAGTAAACCCTCTGTGCTTCTGTTCTCTATCTATTAGTGGAAGTAGTTATAGTGCCTATCTAAGTGGAGGTTGCAGGGTTAAAGAGGTAACACTTTTAGAGACTGGGTCTTAAAAGAGCCAGGTTCATTTTGGTAGCATCATTGTCATCATTACCTCTTGACTTACATACTGGTGTCTCGGATAAACACATCGGCCCTCCTTGATTTTGGTGTAGGTTTTGCAATTATTTGGGACCTTCATGTAAATAAGAAATAACATGATGAGACACAACAGAGAATGCAAGGAGAAAAAGATTTTTTCACATTCTCACACGCAAGAATATCAACAGTGATGGCATTTTTGTCAAGTCAAAGAATGATCCAAAGACCGGCATTGTCATTCTTCAAAGAAATTACACACACAGGCATATACATATATGCACATACATACACACACACATATATATGTAATGTATACATATATATTCAATAAGCACACGGTCAATACATCATTAGAGAAACCACAGTTACAAATACAAGGAAGTAACACTTCACATTTGATAGGCTGACTATCATTGAGAAAATAATAATACATGCAAAGGGAGGAGAGTACAGCTCAGAAGCACAGCGTTTGCCTGCTAAGCTCAAGGCCCCTGGGGTGGCTCTGTACTGAAATGATGACAATGATGGTAAGTGTAGGACAAACAGCAATGAGAACCTTTATCCAATGCTGGTGGGAGTATTTTCCATTCTGGAACGCTATATGTTGATTTCTCAAGAATTTGGGGCTGTGAAAACACAGGCTCCTAGAAGTGCGTGTCCACCCATGTTCAGAGGAATATTCTGTGCGATGGATGATTAAAGAAGATGTGGCATTTGCATGGGCTGAAATATCAATCCATCCCTAAAAAGGAAGCTCTCAGTTATACTACCGCGTGGATGGAGTTAAGAGATGTGCTAAAAAGGAGAATCCAGCCACAAAAGAACAGATTTTGTATGATTCCACTTACATGAGGGATCTACAGTAGCCAAACACATCAAAACAGAAAATGAAATGGTGATGGCCAGGAGCTGGAAAGAGGGAACAATGGAAAGTCAGTGTTCTGTGGGTATCAACTTTCCATGTGAGAAGATGAAAAAATTCTGGAAGCATATGGTGGGTGATGGTTTTTTTCAGAGACAATGTTTCACTCTATAGCTTTGGCTGGCCTGGAACTTGCTATGTAGACTAGACTGGCTTTGAACTCAGAAATCTGGCTGCCTCTGCCTCCTGAATGCTTGGATGAAGGCTTGCATAGCACTTGGCTAATATAAATGTTCTGAATGCCGGTGAACTATATACCTATTGGCAGTCAAACGAATAATTTTTAAGTTTCTTATTACAGGTATTTGCTTATTTTGGGTGTATTTGTGCACATGCATATTTGTGAACAGGTGTGCCTGAGAGCATTGTATGAAAGTCAGAGGACAACTTGGCAGGAGTAGGTTCTCTCCTACTACTTGGGTCCCAGAATGGAACTCAGACCATAGGTGTGGCAGCAAATGTGTTTACCTGCTGAGCCATCTTGCCAGTCTATTAAAATAATACATTTTATATTTGCATATTTAGCCATGCCCACAAAGACAATGATTAGAGCTGAGACAGTTGGAAATAAGGATAAGCTAGGACTTTTCACTCTTTCTTGGTTGGAAACCTGATACCGTCTTCACTCATAAAACCACTCAAGGAATTTATTCCCTGAATACTGACGAAGGCCATTGTATGTTTCATTATCAGTATGCAACTTGTAACCATGGACCCAGCATCTCCCTTTGAAAATTTCCTATTACAGGAGTATATTTAAATGGAAGCCAGTCTATAACCAAATACAATGAGTTCACATGTTGGTGAGTTCAAAAATGAAAATCTAGCCAAAAAGAGTGGATAATGACTTACTGGAGGCAGTAAGGGGGGCATGGGAGTTATTCCCAAAGTAATGCCCCCCCAACAAATGAAGTGTAGGGCTTTTATGTAGGAAGTATGAAAGCATTTAGCAGTGGGCATACTCCTGAGAATGCTCCGTTAGGAATACCAATGTGCACATGTTCTGCTTAAGAAAGGGTAATAGACACTCTCAGAGGCATGCCTGATTCAAGGCCAAGAAACACCACATGACTGAAAGGCTAAAATGGACAAGAACGCCTCTGTGTATAGATAGTTTACCATGTAAAGTTTAGGCAAAAATAAAAGAAAGGATGCTTGGAAGGTGAGCTTACATAGGAGTTGGCTCTTAAACATATCGGTCTCACTTACTGGCTAATAATTCTACCAAGGAAACTTTCAGTAGAAATGATTTGTAAAGATTACTGGAACGAAGTGCAACAGGTTTCACTGCTCTCATGATCAATGTCACCTTGTTCTAGCCTGAGGCTGGCCCATACATGAATAAGTAACCCTCAGTAAAATTCATGGTTTGACATAGCAATGGAAAGTACATTTGGCAATGTCTCTGATGGCCCTGGACATTCACATTCCATTTTCAGAGTTCAAATGGTCAGGAAAACAATTTCAGTGAGATTTGGGGAATGTCTGTCCAGGTTCCCTGTCTTGCTCTCCCTCCTCTCCTCTCACTCCCTATTTGGGCCCAAGTTATCATGCAGCTAACCTGCACAGCCTTTGCTCTGGCCACTCATTCTGGTCCCTCCAGGGTAATGATTAGAGTCTTAGAGTATAGTTCTTGGTACCATCTCTGCTGTGGACATTCTCAGGTGGACATGTTGATGACTGGATGTGTAAGAGGGTCTGAGTGGAGGCTGCTGATGTGACATATTTTGCTGAGCTAAATCTTCAGCCTGGGATGCACATTCCTAAATACTCAAGTTCTGAGCTCAGTGCTAGGAATTCTGTCCTACAAGAGTGCTCAGTCTCTTTACAAACAAACAAACAAACACCCAAATACAAAAAGTAGCCATCTTCATTGTTAAGGCATGGCAAACCACAGGATGGTCTACCAGAAAGCTCTTCAGACGTCTCTAAGTGGGTTAGTTTTAACTAATGTTAATACGATGTGTATATGTGAAGCATCATTCCAAGAGTTTACACACAGTTGGTTCCCATGACAAAGAAACCCTGTAAAACAGTCTTACAGGCCCCACTTTATAGGCAAGGAAACTGATGCACCAAACTGGTTAATTTACGAAGACCATACAGCTGGTGTTCAGGCAAGCCTGGTGGTCTGGCTTAGGGTTTAGTTCTTCAAGCACTGCCCTACGAGACCGCCCACTTTGCTGGGGGAACACAAAGGAACTTCAGAGACAACCATGAAATCTTAAATGTGGATTAACTGAAGGGATTTTAGGCCAGTCTAAACAACAGTGTTCATAAATATTATTTTGTGGGAGGGGGCAGGGAGACTGGGTGGTTAATTTGTTTTGTAGTTGAGGGACTCCAGTAAATTTTATTATACCACAAGAAATTAGACTCGGTTCTTTCAGTTTCTAGAACAGGCAATTTGTTCTGGTCATTGCTCATAATAACCTTGTTTAGGGTAAACAGACCCAACATCTCTAGTCATCAATTTTGTGTGAGTAGTGTGCCCCTATACACGCAAGGGATGGTTTATGGCTGTAGCAAACCACCCTCCTCAATGTTAAATATCTAAGTTGGACAGAGGTTTTGTTTTGCTTTTTTTTTCTTTTCTAAACACACAAAAAACTTGGGAACATTTTTATTGCCCTTTGTGACTCTTGTGCTGAAAAATGTTTGAGTGACTGAAGTCAGACTTTAACTTGAATTCTGTACCAGCACTTGTTGGGTCCCAGTAAACCGGGATAACACTGGCAATCTCAGGAGCAAATGTGGGGATTAGTGAAATACATACATTAAGAGGCAAAATGCACACCCGGGGCACATGTCCTGTGATAGGTCTCCTAATTGCCTGGCATTGTGTCATCGGCTGTTGTTCGGACAGGGATTTCCCAGGCATGACTAAATCGGAGGACACACAGTCCGGTCCTCTGATCCTCTGTTCTCAGGCTCAGAAAGGCTTGCGATATTTCAACAACTTGCTGACATTGCCCCAAGGCTAGTGAACTCCAATAAAATTCCAGGCCATTTCCACATCTTTCTTTAGTTATAGTGCTTATTTTCCCAGAGTCTGCCAGAATATTCCACAACAAATGTTTGTATCTGGAATCCACATACTCTCGAGAAAAAGGAAGTGCTTAGCGGGATTTTAATTTTCTTCCTTTTTCTTCTGGGGGGCGGGGGAAGCAAAACGAGGGGTCCATCAAATTAGTAAATTAGGAGCAAAATAAATACATGTCTTTTTCTCGTTGGATCATTTGCTTCTCTTGTTAGCTGTTCGCGTTTTTAAAAAACTTTTAAGAAATTATTTTATAAAACCTCTTTCCGTCAAGAACGCACTTGTTCCCTCCCTTAGCAGCTCCAAGCACGCAGTAGCCGGTTCTGTCGACACCGAGAAAGGCGAGGAATCCTACCCCCACGTAGTGGAATAGGCCCAGGGGCGGGTAGATGCTTCTGGATTCCTGTCTCTTCTGGCGCAGACAGAGCAGGGTTTTTTTCCTTGGAGGACAGGGAATCGCGGCACCACGGTGTCCTGGGCGGGCGACGGCCACAGCTCCCTGTGCCCACCAGCCTCCAAGTTGGCTGGCTTCGGTGCGGAGCCCGCAGAGGGCGCGGGATGCGAGCAGGTAGAACGCCCCGGGTGTGCCGGGCGGAGCCCCGGGGGCAGAGCCGACGCCTCCTCGGCAGAGCTCGGCTGGGCTTCGGAGCTCTCCACGCCCCCACGCCCCCGCGACCTCCACTCCGACCTCGCACGGAGGCCCCGCCCCCAGAGCCGGCCCCAGCTTCTGACTGGCCGCGGTGCGCGTCAGTCTGCGCTCCAGGACGGCTGTCACGGCGGTTGAGCTCGCGATCGCGGCCGCGGGGAAGCGAAGTGGGGCGCCGGGCGGTAGCCGGGCGAAGGGTGCGCGCGGGTGGAGCCGCGCGGCCCGCATGGAGGCGCCGAGGAGCGCGCCGCGGGAGCGGGAGCGAGCTCGGACCCCCGCAGGTGGGCGCCCGGGTGGGGTGGGCACGGTCTCGGGAGGGTGTCGCGGCGGGAGGCGGGGAGGACGAGGGATACCCGGGGTGCTGGAGGAGCGGGGGTGGCTGCACCTCGCGCGTGGCGGCGTGGGTGGTATCTGAGCCTCCGGGAACCTTAGAGAGGCAGGGTCTGTCGGCGAGCACCCGGACGCGTGGACCCGCCACGGACTGGTGCCCTCGGGGAGAACTGACGTTGTTGCAAACTAAGCTGCCCGGGTTCGCGCCTTGCAGAGGATGTGGTCCACACCTTTATAGCAACCAGACTTGTAAACCGCAAAAAAATGTGTAAACACTCTTGGCTCAAAGAACGCACCAAGGGGACAGGATGGCAGCAGGTCCATCTGGCTGTTCTGGCCCCCTATGCCACTGAGTGACAGTGGTGTCTGGGCTCCAAAGACCTTAGAGGTAAAGGGTGTTTGTCCTTCCCGTCCATCAGCTGTGTTGTTGATTGAGTTCTCATTGTCAGGGGAAATGAGAGCCTCTAGGTCTTGATGAGTCGCATGCATGCTGGATCTTGTATTTCTCTCTCTGCCACACCTGGAGGGTGAGCCCAGTGAAGCTGAGAAGCATGTGCTCTCACTTTGGGTGTGTTTGTGAGGTTGTTGGACACCGGCGGTGCATCTTAATTGCAGTTCTAGGTCCCAGCAGGAGTTTCTAACTGACACAACAATGTGTTGAGTGTAGTGTAGACAACACTGCTTTAGGAGTCAAGGCACAAGGGACGTCGGTCCACCCTAGAGCATCTGGGTGGAAGTTAACAACTATCAGGATACTCAGTCATTCGTGAAATAACTGTGCTCTACAAGTTAATGCCTATGACCTCTCCCTGCCTAGCAGTCTGTGATTGACGTACCTCTTCCCTCAAAAGTTTAGAGAATGAACTCATGTTTTTAACCTTTATGCACCTCGGGTTATTATAAAATTAGCCAAATATTTCTTGTGGGTGTATCCAGTTAAACATTTTTATTTTATTCCTTTCTTCCCTTCTCCCTGCCTTAGTTTGTCAGAGAAAGGAAAGTTGGAAACAGAGGTAAGGCCACAGCTGGAAGGAGCTGGTGAGGCTGCAAAATGCCTGCTTTGGTGTAACATAACCAAGAAATTTTCTCTTCTCTGCACCGAGTTTAAGGTGTGTCAGTACTGTGAGCCCAGAGAGAGTCCTTTCATTTCTTCCCGTCTGTGGGGTCTGCAGTTTGTTTGCAGGAGAAGGAGGCACTTAAGAATCCAATTATGGAAAATGTTTCCCTTCAAAATATAACTGCCAAAGACTTGGGAGCATAGCTGCTCATCTTTGCTAGTTCTGTTGGTGGGGGGAGGGGGAGACCCAGTGGTTTAAAAGTCACTTGCCCAAGCTGAGATAGAGACAGCCTGTTAGCTTACCTTTTAGCTATTTGCTAAAAGAGAAACACAGATTCACCTTTAAGATAATAAGTAACAGCTGGGTGGTGGAGGAGCACACCTTTAATTCCAGCACTAGGATCTCTGTGAGTTTGAGGCCAGCCTGGTTTACAGAGTGAGTTCCAGGACAGTCAAGGCTACACAAGGAAACCAAAAATAAATAAATAAATAAATAAATAAATAAATAAATAAATAAATAATGCTTGATAGAAACCAAAGAGACACCAGAAGAAAACCAACAGATAGGGACTGAAAAGGAGTTTAGGATAGTCTTTTAAAGCCATTGTTAAAGTGTTTTAGTGTTGGAAATCACAGGACACAGCATTACTAGAAAAATACCATTAGGATATTCAACAAGGATGAAGCATCTTGAAGGTCACTTTGTGCAGTACTCCAAAGCCCACAAGGCCCCATCACCTATCAGAAGGATATGATGGCCCTGTAAACTAAGCTCACCTTTCAGCATCATTGCCAAACCTCTGTGTTTGGCGATAACATGGGTTTTTCCTTACTTTTACCTCCATCTCTTGCTTCATGGTCCTTAACTGTTGGAGGGGTTGAGGGCCTGCTGCTGCCCCTAAGTGTACTGGCAGGTAGGTGAGTTCAGATGGTGAGCTTGTCTGTGTTCACAAAGAGAGGCAAACTGGGAGAGTTACCAACCAAGTGAGGAGTGATGCCCGTGATGTACACGCCCCCTCACATCCATGGGGACTACTGAGGACAAATGCTTAGTCTGTAGCCAGTACCTTCGAAGCCACTGGCCTCAAGGAGCCACTTGTGAGCAGGATGCTCTGGCCATTGGTAACTGCCCTGAGATGAATATCTGGGGGTGTCCCAAGGCCTGGTTATAGCAGAGAGGGAAATACTTTCCTTCTTTGAAAAAATAGTTTAAGGACTTAAGGGAAAAAGAAACCCCACTGCATCACGCTGTGTGTGTGTGTGCGCGCGCGCGCGCGCGCGCACACACACACACACATTGGAATGTTTTAAAAACTGAGGATCTGTAGTTGTTACTTTTTGTTTTTTGTTTGCCCCGTTTCCACACTTCTCTTACATATTGGGATGATGAGCCAATGGCATTTATCTTTTTTTTAAGCCTATGTTTTATCTAGGTTATTAATGGGAAAACGTCCTTTTACCTGTCTTGGATGGCAAGACAGACTTCTATTCACCAGGGAGACATTCTTTGGCTCCCAGGTGGGGTGAACACCTGGCAGGCTTGTCCCCCATAGTGCCTGTCTCTTCACAGTGGTGGCGGGCACTTGTGTTCTCTAGATGCTAAGCAGAGAGCAGCCATAGGGGTGACAGACACATGTGTAATTCTTCCAGCCATTGTTCTGTGACACTTGGAGCCACTGTAGAATATGTAGAGAAAGTCCAGTTCCAAGAAGCTCCATGAGGCAAACACTAGCCCAGGTCTCTACTTTTGACAGATTGTTAGCCATCATCTGCCTAGTACTGTCCTGAAACAGTTCCCAGGGCCCCTTTGTCACACGGAACCTGTTAAGATCAGGCTACCATTTTATACCACTGTGTTGGTTGGGGTGACTTACAGACAGGGTTACAGGGGAAGAGAGACTGTCAAACTTTTTTTTCTCAACTTCCTATGGCTATATGGTTCTCTGTTTATGGCTACTAAAAGCCACCAATTCTTGGGGTTATTAGCCTAGTGTATTCAGCCGGAGGTTCATTCTCTCCTGTCCACATGGCTCATCTAGTGAATGTACAGTTATGTAGATAATCTGTCTTCAGAAATTGAGGTTGTGCCCAGAATGGTGCTACATGTCTTTAATTCCAGCATTTGCAGTCAGAGACAAGTGGGTCTTCATGAGATCAAGGCCAGCCTGGTTTATGTAGCAAGTTCCAGGCTAGCCAGGGTTCCACAGTGAGACCCTGTCTCAAAAAGAATTGAGCTTGTGTACCCAATTATTTGGTTGCAGTTAATTTCATGGGACACTGATGCTTCTTCATGACAAGTTAACAGGAATGTTTTCATTTGTGTTCGTTCTTGTTCTAGACATAGTCTATTTAAGAAATGCAACAACAAAAAACTTTCCCGTTTAATTGGAGGTGGAGCAGACAGGTTGCATCGTGTTTATATTAAAAAGATGGTAAAAAGATAAGTTTATCTCCCAGAGATGAAGGAAAACCATCTGTTGTTACTGTTGCCAGGATTCCTAGGAAATAAAAATTCCAGGAAGTGCAGAACATAAAATATTATGGCTGGTATAGTTCTAAATTATGAATTTCATAGCAAATCTCTTGTTGCTATCTTAACCACATGACTACAGCGTTTTCTCTAGAAAGTCCTCCCCAGCTGACACAGAAGAGGAGTATCATTGAAAGTCGAGGGCTGGGGGGGGCTGGGAAGAAACTCAGTTGACAAGTGTTGCCATGCAAACAGGAAGACCTGACCTTGGGTTCCCAGCATCCACACTAAAAAGCCAGGAGCAGTGGTGTGCACCTGTAACCCTACTGCTGAGGAGGCAGAGATGGGGTCCCTGAGGCTTGCGTGGCACGAAGGCTAGCTGAGTCCCTGAACTTGATTAAGAAAGACACCTGATGTCAACTGTCAACCTATGATCTAAACACACACACACACACACACATACACACACACACACACACACACACACGTGTACACATGCACACACACAAGCTGAGGGAGGCAGAGAGGAGAAGGGTTGTGTGGTGACATCCCATCATTGTGGAGATAAGCTCCCTGCCCTCTGTGGAGCTAGGACAACCTTCTTGGATACATGCCAGTTTCTGAATGGCGTGGGACTCCGGGTGGCCCTAGAGCTGGTGGTGGAAACTCACTAGACTTGCTATCTAGCCTAGTGCTAGAGTGCTTCCCATAGCGTGTAGTCTCCCGGGTTAGCAGAAGTGAACTAAATCCTTTCCCGCCTGGTGCTGAGCCACCCCTTGGTCTTAGGCTAGCACCTGCTACACTGAGAGAATCGTTTTATGATCTGTGACATGAAAACCTTGGCTGACCTCCGGGCTATGTGAAGTTACAGGAAAGCAGTGCCCCTGAATTGGCCACTTGGATGGGTTAAAATCTGCAGTGGCCAGGATGGCCGATAGGACAAGGGGAAGTGGAAGAGATGGCTGGGACACATGCTGTCAGCCACCAGCGCCATGCACGGAGTGGAGTGCAAACGGCAGCAGAGGCAGCCTGGCGTTTGCAAATGTAGCTGAGGAGTAGGTGGGCTGCTCGCCTTGACATGGAAGTATGACGAGTGAACTAAATAACACAAACACCAAGCCCCGTACTCTTATACCCGAGACTGTGCAGGGCTCACACATAGGAATCCCTTCCTCTGAGGATGAAGGTAAAAATCCCTTCAGCTGGAAGGGTTCACATCAGAATTTATCCGTGGTGCATTCGTCTGTTCTGCGTTTTAAACATTTGTCCCACTCAAGTGTGGGCACTTAGCCAGTCTCTACTGTAGAAGACTGTCACCTGCCTTGTTCTGCTCTCAGTGCGTTCTCTCACACCCCAGGGCCTTCTCCCAGAAAAACCTCACTGACGGCAGTTCCCCTTCTCCTCTTCCTCCCCCCCCGCCCACC